AACAAGTGCCTCAAGTGTCTGCCCTCCAGCTGGAGCTACTTGGGGATCCTCTATAGCAGCTCGTGCGGGTGCTCTGGCTGCACCACGTGGACGTCCTCGGCCTCTACCTGGCCCCGGCCTCTCACGACTCTAGTAGGGGGCATGGGTGCCTGGTCATTAGATCCGTGTGTACGTGTCCTCATCATATGTGAGAGAATAGAATACAAAAGTTTAGAATTTTTGAAGTCAACAATTTTCGCACGACAAGGAATCAAAGTAGTGAAATTTTTCTAACAATTCCATAGCCTCCCGTAGATAAGTACAGACGTCTCCGTACCGATCCGCGAGACTCTAATAAATCGGCTTGTGACTCAGGACACCTATGAACCTAGAGCTCTGATACCAACTTGTCATAACCCAATTTTCCCTCCGTATGACATCGTGACGGCACCTAGTCTATATGACTAGGTAAGCCTTACATTTGCGGAATAATAAAATAAAAACATGAATTAAACAGCTAATTGTTCAAAATACATAGTAATCCCAAAACCCGGAACATCATAAGTCACAAGCTACAGAAGGAAACTAGTATCTCTATACACCAGAGTCTAATAACAAAAGTAAGGAAGGTAAATGACATGGGAGGGAATAGAGGGGGACTTCGAGGTCTGCGGACGCGGCAGATATACCTTGAAGTCTCCGTAAAGCAGCAAGCACTCTCAGCTAGTAGCGGGGCTGATAAGAAGTACCTGGATCTGCACACAAAATATGTGCAGAAGAGTAGCATAAGTACACTACAATCGGTACCCAGTAAGTGCCAAGCCTAACCTCGGTAGAATAGTGACAAGGTCAGGTCCGGGCCCTACTGGAATATGATAATAAAGCAAGGCAAAAATGAAATATCGAAGTAAAATAAAACTGAAATTTAACAAAAAAGAATTTATAGAAGGTAACAACTCAATACACAGAAATACAACAGGGGATCTCCTGAGATACCGTCTCGTAGTCCCAAACGTAAATGTGCAGGGGAGGACCTTCCGAAAAATCGTTCCGTAGTCCCAAAGTAAATATGTAAGACAGGAGGATCTCCCGGAATACCGTTCTGTAGTCCCAAAGTAAATATGCAGCACAAAAATAGAAATATAACTACATCATAAAATCTTACGAATTAGACTAAGTACCAATCAATGAAGAAGCAGGAAATTCACTAAGCGTGCTGCACAGAGTTAACATAAGCAATTAAGACACGTAGACATGTTGTCTTAGACTAAACATGATAGCTACACATGTTGGAATAACTCAATTAAGAATGAAAATATATTAATACTCATTAAAATGATGTAACTCAAAATAAAAGGAAAACAGGTTGCTGCTCAGTAAGAAAATCGGGTTTTTTCCACAACTAGCCCGTATACGTACACGTCACCTTACGTTCACGGCGCTCACATATCACAATAGTTCCAAAGAGGATTTCCCACACACAAAGTTAGGCAAGCCACTTACCTCGAACCAAGCTCAATCAATCGGTCACAATGCCTTTCCAACGAATATTCGGCTCCGAATGGCCCAAATCGAGCCAAAAGCAATTACATATCATAAATACAACCATAATAGACTCATCTAATTAATGAAATCAACACTTTAACAAAAATTCCGAAATTAACTCAAATATCGCTCGTGGGGCCCACATCTCGGAATCGGATAAAAGTCATAAAATATGAACACCCATTCACTCACGAGTCCAACCATATAAAAATTACTCAAATCCGACCACAAATCCCCTTTCAAATCTCAAAATCTTTGTTGAAGAAGTTCTTCCATTTTTCTCCCAATTTCAACCCCAAAATCCGAAATTAAAAAGAAAATTAATGATATATTAGTGGAATATAACCAAAATAGAGTGTAGAATCATTACCCAATCGATATCTCTGAAACTCCCTCAAAATCTCGTCCAAATCCGAGCTCCCAACTCAAGTTTTTGATAAAATGGCAAAACCCCCGTTTTTGGAATGTTTAAGCAATACCCAGTGATTCCTTAATCGCGATCGCAGAAACAACCTCGCGATCACGAAGAACTACTTCGCTCCCTCAAAAATTTACTCTACGCGAACGCGTAACACCTCACGCGAATGCGATGCACTAGCTGCTCACATCTATACGATCACAATTGTCCTTACGCGACCGCGAAGAGTAACACTCAAACTCCACTGCTGCCTCACTTCTTCTTCGAGAACGCGGCCTAGCCCACGCGTTCGCAGTGCACTTCCTGATAACCTTACGCGATCGCGTCTTCATATTCGCGAACGTGAAGAGCAATTTTAGCTGACCTCTCAGATGACCTACGCGATCGCGAGATATCCCTCGCAAATACGATGAAGAAAAATGTCTGCAATAATACCAGAAAATCTGCCAACTCCCTAAGTCCAAAAATGACCTGTTGAGTATCCGAAACACGCCCGAGGCCCCCGGGACCTCAACCAAACATACCAACGAATCCTAAAATACCATACGAACTTAGTCGAGCCCTCAAATCACATCAAATAATGCTAAAATCACGAATCACCCTCCAATTCAAACTTAAACAAACTTGGAACTTTTAAATTCGACAACCGATGCCGAAACCAACCAAACCACGTCCGATTGACCTAATATTTTGCACACAAGTCATATTCAACACTACAGACCTACTCCAACTTCCAGAATCAGAATCCGACCCCGATATCAAAAAATCCACTACCGGTCAAAATCTCCAAAAATTCGACTTTTGCCATTTCAAGCCTAAATAAGCTATGGACCTCCAAAACACAATTCGGGCATGCCCCTAACTCCAAAGTCACCTAACGGAGCTAACGGAACCAACAGAATTCCATTCCGGAGTCGTCTTCATACAGTTCCGACTACGGTCCAAATCCTAAGGCTTAAACCTCCATTTAGGGACTGAGTGTCCCAAAACACTCCAAAAACCAAAACAAAACCTCCCTGCTAGTCACAATAGCAGAAATAGATATAGGAGAAGTAGTAAATAGGGGATCGGGGCTATTACTGTCAAAACGACCGGCCGGGTTGTTACACACTAATGCCCTTAAATTTGATTTTCGTTTTGTTGCCTCTTGTTTTTTGTTTTGAGTATAGAGAGAGAGGAGGATGCTCAACGGGAGTGGACATTGAGTAGACAGAGATATTTTAGGCTCTTCATATAAGGCTAATTATTTGAAGCCTCTTGTACAGTACTTAAACCCAGGTAAATGAATTGTTATAATTGTGAACTGTAGCGGTATGATGAAGAATTTTAAGTATTTGATTAATATATCCTGCTACTAAATATCTGATTGCAGGATGCGATATGAATAAGATTTTAATGGCAACAACACTTTCAAGATGAAGCTTACATAACAAAACAGAGTTGGAGCAATTGAACCCTTTATCAACTTGCTTCAGAAATAAACAGAAGACTTCAGTTACATAAATTAACCCAAGTTGCCCTCGGGATGTTGGTTTACTGCTATGGACACAATGGTAGAGTTATAGATAAGGTGGACGTTACAAGTTCAAACTCTGCCACTAGCAAGGATCCTGGTATTTTTATGGGGGAAGGCCGTATTGTCCTGAGTTTTAAACCAATGAGCCAACTAAGTCGCAAAGAATTCCTCGACAAAAAGAAAATATTAAGCCTAAAGACTGCAAACTCCTCCACCCCATGATTCAGGAATCTTTATTTTTCACATTAAGATAAGCAATTTTTCTCTTTGATTGCTTCTTCACCTAATAAAATTTAACCTACTGCAACTTGTTCTAAGTAGAGATTGTAGAATTTCTTCAGTGTTTTCTAAAAGAGCTTTGTTGATGCTCTTAGATTGCAAAAATCGCTGAAAATCCAGAAGTTTCACCTTTGCTACCACAAACTCCCTCTCACTACCAGAACTCCAAGAAGCAAAACTCAAGAGAGATATAAAGCAATCAGTTATGAAATTATATGGGGACAAAACCAGTAAAAGTATCGGAAGACTGAAGATGACATATATGTATTGATAAACAAAGAAAAGTAACTCTTGAACCATATTTATTGCTACACAAAAGGTTTTCCTCGTAGAAAAGAAGTTGAATTAACTATAGAAGCACGTAAGAATTTCTTTTACATACTAACACTGCTGTAACTAAAGATAGAAACTCAGTTGTTTAATTCTTTGACTTAAAGTTATCGAGTTGTTTATGATTAAAAAAAATTTAACAATAGTAATAATATAAAGACATATACTTCATATTTAACGTGCATCAAGACTGCAATTAATAAATAACAAATAGGCAGACGAATAAGTAGAGAGTACTATTAATAACTCAACCTTAAACATTCAAATTCTGCAACAATGGATTAATGCTGACCATCATTACTGAAATTGAAACAACAAGATTACGCTAAATAACTTGTTGATAAACCTATAAGATTGTTGGAGCCAACTCTGACAGGGCTAGATCTATTCCTGCTTTTATTGATATATCTAATTCATAAGAAGTGCAACAAAATAAGTTAAGATAGATTAGTACTCAGTGAAGGCTTGATTAGGTAACAATAGTACGTCTTAATGAAAAGAAAAGTTTAGACAATTGATATATCACTAAAAGTTTCCCCTGATTGTTTTCTCTATTGGATCCTTTTGGAAGCATATGGAGTCCGTTCGAAAGATTATTTCAATTCCTTATTGAAAATCAAATACCAACTTGTCACGACTCAAAACCTAACCCGTCGTGATGGCACGTATCGTGATACTAGGCAAACCGACATTTCCAAAATACTTTTAAAATTTAACAGAAATAAATTAAGACATTTAAAATAACTGGAGTTTTTCATAAAAATAGGGGTAAAACCCAAAAAAAATATAAGTGCGAAAAAAATAGCCCGACATCGGGGTGTCACTAAGTCATGAGCATCTAATAACCAATCTAGAAATAGAGTCTACTACAGTCTGTGCCAAATGCCAATACAAGAGAGAAAATATAATAAGAAAGGAGAAACAAGGACTGCGGACGCCGGCAGCTACCTCGTAAGTCTCTGATAATCAACCCGCGCACGAACTCAGCGACCGTCACCATACACACCTGGATATGTACATGAAGTGCAAGGTGTAGCATGAGTACAACCAACTCAGCAAGTAATAGAATTAAATAAGAAACTGAGAAACAGTGACAAACTATAATAATACAGATAATTTCAAAAGTTTTCAGTAAAGAGTGAACATGCTTTCAAATCCGGTGGTATAAGCCAAATCAGTTCGAGCCCAAGTAAAACAGATATGAATCTTTCAGTAATTTCACAACAACATCAGATAGCAACTAAGTGCAACAATAAATAAAAGCAAGCACAGCCTCTCAAGGCAGCAGCCACTCAACTCATCTCATCAGCTCATACTCTCGGCTCTCAGCCCTCAATACACACTCTCAATAAGTGCATGCGCTCACTGGGGGTGTACAGACTCCGGAGGGTCTCCTTCGAGCCCAAGCGCTATATCGCTGCGGCGTGCAGCCCGACCCAATCATATAAGTAGCCATAAGGCTTGTTGCGGCATGAAACCCGATCCACAGTCCATAAATAGCCATAAGGCTTGTTGCGGAGTGCAACCCAGTCCATATACCCTCACATAGTTCACAGCTCGGCACTCAGGCCCTATCTCATTCACTAACCTCTCCAGCCCCTCGGGCTCACAGAATATCATTATAATCGGCTCAAATAGAGAATACAACAAGTATCGACAAGAAATGGGAAGGAACAGAGATATAACACACAAGTAAGATTATGACTGAGTACAAGACAACAATTAACAGTCAATTCAACAAGTATACGATCGCTGCAGGTCCCAACAGTGATGTCATATGGCCTAAGCATGGTTTCTAACATGGAAGATAGTCAATTGCTCAAAGACAAGGAAAAACAAGTAATAACAATGGCTATTCGACTTTACAGTCTCACGGGACGGAAAAAGTCACAATCCCTCTCGGTGCACGCTCACACGCCTGTCACCTAGCATGTGCGTAACCTCCAAACACTCACATCATACCAAATTATCGAGGTTTCATATCCTTAAAACCAGATTTAAGACTGTTACTTACCTCAAACGCGTAAAACTCCTACTCCGTAATGCCTTTGCCCCTTGAATCAATCTCCAAATGCTCCGAATCTAGCCATAAGCAGTACGAGATAATCAATATTGGTTAAANCCAATTTATAAAAATACGACCTCAATTGTCCCTCCAAAACCCCGTAGTTCACTCTCATATTCCCAATCCCTAAACCCCCAAATTTCCAACTCAAATCCATAGATTCACGAAATTTAGACCAATCTGGGTTAGAATTACTTACCCCAACGTTTTCCTTGAAAATCCTGAAAAAATAGCCTCTCTCCCGAGCTTCCCAAGTCCAAAATAGAAAAAGAAAGTCCAACCCTCGAGCTGGTATTTTTCTGCCCAGAAATACCGCACTTGCGGTCCTCTTGTCGCTTCTGCGATGCCGCACCTGCGAAAATTTCATCGCAGGTACGGATTCCACTTAAAATCTTAACCTTGATCATGCGGCCCCAAGACCTCACCTGCGCCTATTGCAGGTGTAGGAATCCATCGCACCTTCGGCCATCCTTCGCACCTACGCCCAACTGCCCGCATCTGCGACCCTCGCATGTGCAGAAAAATCTTTGCACTTGCGGCTCTTGCCCAGCTCCTTCTTGTCTGCATCTGCGGCTCCTTCTTCGCTTCTGCGAACTCGAACATGTGGTTCCCTCTTCGCAGGTGCGGTTACACCAGTAGCAGCAGCTTCAACTGCATTTCCTTAACTCCCATCAAGCCGTTAACCACCCGAAATCACCCCGAGGCCTCCAGGACCTCAACCGATCATACCAACAACTCATATAACCCCATGCGAACTTAGTCGAACCATCGAATCACTCAAGACAACATCAAAACACCAATTACACCCGGATTCAAGCCTTAAGAACTTCTAAACTTCCAAATTCTACAAACGACGCTGAAACCTACCAAACCACGTCCGATTGACCTCAAATTTTACACACTAACTCAAAAATGACACCACAAACCTATTCCAACTTCTAAAAATCCAATCCAACCCCGATATCAAAATTTTTACTGTCGGCCAAAATCGTAAAATTTCAACTTTCGCCAATTCAAGCCTAATTCTACTACGGACCTCCAAATCACATTCCGGACGTGCTCCTAAGTCCAAAAGCACCTAACGGAGCTAACAGAACCATAAAAATTCAAATTCGAGATTGTTTTCTCACAAGTCGACATCTGGTCGACTTTTTCCAACTTAAGCTTCCAATTAAGAGACTAAGTGTCTCAATTCACTCCAAAACCGCTTCACACCCGAACCAACCAACCCGGTAAGATAAAATACAGATGTAAAGCACAAAAGAAGCAGAATTTGGGAAAATGAGGCTATAACTCTTGAAACGACCGGCCGGGTCGTTACACTCTATCTACTACAGATCGAAGCCACAAAAAAAACTTGATATAGCATTGCGAGTGTTCAGTGGGTGACAACTCGAATTTACAAAGAAATTCCCATTAGACTACAACAGGTTCAAACATAACTATAACAATAAATTAGTTCACAATTTGATCAAGGGAAAACTGTTTTCTCAGAGCAAAGAATCAAAAAACAAGTAGTGGAGGGGAATACTAAAAGTCTTTCCCATTAACAAATTCCACAACCAAGTGACTTCAACACACAACAACTTGAGCAACTCTGATTTTCTTATTGTTATTAAATCCACCAATGGAAAAATAGAGTAGCTTGCTTGTATAGTCCTTTATATATTTCTATCAAAAAAAAGATAATAAGTACTTCTAATAAAGATACTTTTTCAATTAACTCAGTCACACAAATATGAAGAAGGAGATGAAATATGAAGCGCAAAATAATAACCTATAGTGAATGACCAGAGAGACACAAGAGGAGTAGAAGAAAAGCGTAACCAAAAAAATCAAGAGGATACCCGAGCAAAACAGAGTATGTTCCCTAAAACCTTATTAACTACTACTCCATAAATACTTTATTTCTACTTAAATGTATTATTTTCGATCTGTCGGCTCATCTATATGGGTTTTTCTAATTATATAAGTAGAGTTATAATCTTTGTTTCTTCGTAATCCGTAGACTTTTCTCATCAAACAGTCGCCTTCAGTTAGCACGGTAGTTTTGATTCCTTTAACTTTTGTAACTGGTAATTAGTAAATATCAGACAACTAAAAAATTTAACAAATTGTCTAATCTAATCTTAAAATTAAAGATCAAACAAAGTAATAACCTGTCAGCAAACGCGCACAGAGACGAAAAGATGAACAGTGGAGAAGCGGAGCGATAAATATCGAGAGAAAACCCAAGAAGAACAGAGTATATTCCAGAATTTATTCAACGATCATAGCTAAACAGTTCAATAAACTGTCAAATATAACCTTAAAAGTAAAGATCGGATTTGCCTAAAACAAGGGCATTGAAGTAATCTAACCTGAAGAGATAATGTTTAACCCTAAAAATATATTGTTGATCCCCATGAAACACAGGTGTTGCCAAGGTAGGAAAACAACTCAAAGCACCAAAAGCAAGAGGAGCTTAATGTTACACATCTGAGAAGAGGAAGAGCTGCGCATCCTAGAGAGAGAAAGAGAGCGTGAACGGAATAGAAAAGAAAAATTTTAGGCGTACAGTCCGTCTAAAATATGCTGAAAAAATAAAAATACCCCTGGACGATCAAGACCTCCTTATTATCGCTTCTAAATAAGTAGAAAATATCAATAAGAAAATATAATTAATATCTGTGTCACCATCCTATTGGCCTAACGTAAACCATAAGCCAAATTATAATTAAACTAACCCGTAAACGGTCTGATATTGACCCGACCCAATTTTTGTTGGAGTTAAGCATAAGCTGGCCCAATCTATTGCTGATGTTGAGGCACACCCTACATAACAGGCCTATTTGATTTATTTATTTGTAAATATCCCACTTATAATAGTGCGGCTCATTCTTTGTAATAGGCATACTAGTACATATTAGTCCATTGGTTCGGTTGATTCTTTTAAGTAGATAACCACTTTATATTTTTTGGATTCTTCTAGATGTACAGAACATTTCTATCTTTTCAGTCAATCGAATAAGAAAATATCTGCTTCTCTTTTTTCCTTTCTCTCTCTCTCATTTCATTTCCTAAACCCTAGATAAAGTCTTGGTAGATTCATAGAATTCAATGTTTTCACATGGTATCAGAGCAGAGATTTCGTTTCTTCTTCTCACCAGCTTCCTCGTGATGTTATCCTCGCTTATTTTCGTTCGATATTTCTTGTACATTGAGAAGTTTGGGGTTTTCTGATTCTGTTGAGTTTTCTTCTACAATCGTTGCTTCGAGAGCTTCTTTATACCGGTGTTTCACTGGATTGGCGTGGAAATCAGTTGATTCCTCTAATTTTCCCTATCCAACTGTTAGGGTTTGTTTTTTCAAGTTCAAGGTCGTTGTCGTCTTTCGGTCACAAAGACAGAGGGTATTCTCCTTATCTAGCTCATTTTTTTATTAGAATCTAATAGTTCTTAATTATGGTAGAGGTATACGATTGCATGTGTTGTGGTTGAATTCTATGTGATTTCTGACTGATTATTTGAACTCAAAAATGGTGAATGTCGTTGACGAGTCTATATCTACTAATTCCTCTGTTAGTTTCATCCCTAATCCTTTGAGTCCACTTTTTCTTCTGTCTTATGATGTTCCGGGGATTTCTCTTGTCAGTATACTCTTTTCTGGAACTGGATTTGTGGGTTGGAGACGGAATATGATTGTTTCCCTTTCTGCTAGAAATAAGATAGGTTTCATTGACGAAATAATTGTTAAACCTCTTGAAAATCCCCCTAAATTTAGGTAATTGGATAGGTGTAACAATATGGTCATCTCTTGGTTGACCAACTCCCTTACACCAGACATAGCTGGAAGTGTTCAATATTCTGACACTGCCCAAAGCATTTGGACTCAACTTAATAAAAGGTATGGTATTGTAAATGGAACCAGGGTATTTGAGATAAAACAAGAGTTAGCTTTCACCAGTCAGGGGTCTCTAGACATAGCATCTTACTTCAACAAACTCAAGAAATTATGGGATGAATTGGGTTTCATGTGTGCCTCTCGTGGTAGCTCTTGCACATGTACTGCTAAATCTGAGATCAAAGAGAGGATGATGAAAACAAGTTGCATCAGTTTTTTATGGGGATTAATGAAACTTATGTTGGAGTTAGGAGTAATCTGCTCATAATGCAACCTCCTCCATCTCTAGACACTGCCTACAACATCTTGCTTCAGGATGAAAGACAAAGACAAGTGTCCTCACAATCCCAATTCCGTACTGATTCTGCTTCTTCCAATGTCCATCTCACTAACAAATTCTCAGGAACACCTGCCCCTCCCAAGCAGTTCATTCAAAGAGTCAATTTTGAGTACAACAAGTCAAATCTGGTGTGTAGGTATTGTAAGAAGCCTGGGCATTTGGTTGACAAATGCTATAAGTTCCATGGCTTTCCACCATGCTTCAAGTTTACCAAGGGAAAAGGACTGCTGCAAATATTGAGGTGTAGGGTCTTCAAAATTCTGCTGGTCATCAGAATTTTGCTTAAGTTTCTCACTCTCCAGCTGATGGGTCTTTTGATTCAGAGTCTTTGATCCCTGGGTTAACCAAGGATCAATATTTCCAACTCATGATGCTGCTTCAACAGACACAAATTTCATAATCACAATCCCAGTCCAGCCTCATGGCATCTGCTAACTTTGCTTGTATTCTCTCTTCACCCATTTGTATGAAAAGTGTATTTTATGGTGCTTGCGCGTTAACTAAAATAAATGAATGCATTTGGATTATAGACTCTGAGGTAACTGACCACATGAACTCCAATAAAGTCTTTCTTTTTTATATTAAGCCCTTAATTATACCATACTTAGTCACCTTACCAAATGGTTATAAGGTTAAGGTAACTTGTACTGGATCCATTCAATTTCTTTGTTTCACGTTGCATCATTTCCTTTATATTCCTAGCTTTCATTACAACCTTATCTCTACATCTAAACTTGTTTGCCAGTTGGATTCTATTGTCCTATTTACTAAGTTTTCATATTTAATACAGGCCCTTTCACTGAAGAGGCCACTGAAAATTGGATGGTGGACTCTACAGGCTTGTGCAGTCTTCCCCTTCTCTTCAATCTCATGCAACTATATGTCAATCTAGTTCTATGAGTGATCTTTTACTTTCTGAACATGTTCCCTGTAAATACCATTCTATGATGATTCTGTTTCTTCTTCTCATTGTACATATTATTCTGAATTGAATAAAATGGAGATGTTGTGGCATAATAAACTGGGACACATACCTTTTGTTAGAATGAGAGAAATTCCTTATGTACCTTGTAAATTCTCTTCTAAACAACCATTTACTTGTACTGTCTGCCCATTAGCAAGGCAGCCCAAGCTACCTTTTTCTGATAGTTCTATCAAAACTACATATGCTTTTCAACTCATACATATGGATACCTGGGGCCCTTATGGAAGCCCTACCTATAATGGGTATAAGTATTTTCTAACCATAGTTGATGACTTTACTAGAGCTACTTGGACTCATCTTGTGGGGTCCAAGAGTAATGCTTTCCCTCTTATCAAGGCTTTCATTGCCATGGTCAAAACACAACTCAAATCTATTGTACAAATTATTAGAAGTGATAATGCCTTTGAGTTTGGGTCTAGTAACTGTGGCAATGAATTCTTTCTTGAAAATGGAATAATTCACCAAACTTCTTGTCCTCACACACCACAACAAAATGGTGTGGTTGAAAGAAAACATATGTATCTTTTAGAAACCTCAAGAGCACTATTTTTCCATTCTCACTTACCTATTAAATTCTGGGGAGATTGTGTGCTTACTGCTATATATCTTATCAACAGGTTCCCTTCTAAGCTTCTTAATAACAAAACACCTTTTGAACTACTATTTGGGCAACCTCCTTCTTACAATCATATTAAAACATCTGATTGTCTCTGTTTTACCATAGTTCCTAAGTGCCATAGGGACAAGTTTCAGCCTAGAGCTGACCCTTGTGTATTCCTGGGATATCCATTGGCTAAGAAGGGATATAAGCTATACAATTTGAAAACTAAGCTTACTTTGATATCCAGAGATGTGATTTTCCATGAAACTATTTTTCCCTTTGCTTCTTCTTTCAAACAGCCTAGTGTTCCTCCTCATCTAAATCCTTCTCCTAGTTGGAGTTTACCAGTTGACAATTCCCTCTATGATCCTCCTCAATCTCTTGTGCTTTTTCCTTTACTTCTCTCACCATCTCCTCCTTCTCTAACATCTGCCTCCTTCCCTTCTCATACCTCCTCACACACTCCACCTGCTCCTAAGAGATCCAGTAGGACTCATATTCCTCCTACTCACCTTAAACAATATGTTTGTAACCTTCCTCCATCCTTGTTTGACCCTAGTTCTTCTTCTTTTTGCCTTCATAGTTTAGTTAATACTACTGAGATTGAGCCTGACTCATATCAGCAGGCAGCATCCATTCCTGTATGGCTGGAGGCCATGAGGAAAGAATTTGAGGCCTTAGAGGCCAATCATACTTGGTCCATTGTTCAGCTGCCACCTCGCAAGAAACCCATAGGCTGCAAATGGGTTTATAAAGTCAAGTATATGGCTGATGGGACTGTGGAAAGGTATAAGGCTAGATTGGTTGTTAGGGGTGATACCCAGGTTGAGGTGTGGACTTCAATGAAATATTCTCACCTGTTGTCAAATTTTCCAGTGTTAAGTGTCTTATTGTTGTGGCTATCAAGCAAAGTTGGACTCTATTTCAACTTGATGTCAACAATGCCTTTTTGCATGGTGATCTGGATGAGGAGGTCTATATGAGGTTTTTACCTGGGTTGTCAGCCACTCCTTTAACTGTTTCTGGTTCATCTTCTTCTCCTTTGGTTTGTCATCTTCAAAAGTCTTTATATTGTTTGATACAGGCTTCAAGGCAGTGGTATGTCAAGCTGTCTCAATTTTTATGTTCTAAAGGATACTCTTCTTCTCTCAATGACTATTCTTTCTTCTCTAGAATATTTGGTTCTTCCATTGTCGTGTTGGTTGTGTATGTTGATGATATTATTCTCACTGGTAATGACTTGGAAGAAATTGTTGCATTAAAGAGTTTTCTGGACAATGAATTTAAAATCAAATAGTTGGGAGTTCTCCATTATTTCCTTGGGATTGAAGTTGCATACACTTCTGGTGGACTATTGTTATATCGGAGAAAATTTATTAAGATCCTTCTCAAAGAGTACCATTGTGAGAATGTTACTACTGTTACTTGTCCCCTTGATCTAACTGTCAAACTCAAAGAAGACATGGGGATCCTCTTACTTCTCCTGAATCATATAGGAGTCTGGTGGGCAAGCTCAACTTCCTCACTCACACCAGACCATACCTGACTTTTGTTGTATAACACCCAAGCCAATACCTTCAGAATCCCACCTCCTCTCACATGCATGCAGCCTTACATATACTCAGGTATCTTCAAGGTTCTTCTGAAGTTGGAGTTTTCATCAGCAACTCCCCTGATCTTTCACTCTCTGCATATTGTGATAGTGACTGGGTTGCTTACCCAGACACAAG